ATCACTTGAACATGATAAGAAATGTTAAGCTTTGGGTCAACATAGCAAGTTAAGGGCTCTTGTTTTCGGCATGAGACCATGAGCAATACAATCCATTAATGCGAATGAATGTATGATGCTTTAGTAATGATAATACTCCCTTCGTTTTTTTAAGTGCCCCATTTTACTTGACTCACTTTGACCAATGTTTGTTTATTATACATAAAATAAAATATAGTCTCGTGGGTACTTGTTGGAATCGTCGCAGTTTATATTCAGTTGTTGTAATTTGTACTTATTGATAATTAACAATATTATCGGTCAAAATTTTGCATCAGCATGTGTTGAGCTCTAATGGAGCATTTTAAAAAAAATAGAGGCGTAGTTCATAATTCCCATAAATTTAAAATTTTTTAAATCCGAGTTGATAACAATGGAAACTATCTAAAGCTAACATAGTAATCCTTTTCGACTCAAAATGCAATACCAGACAATATGGAACAAAAGCACAATTCAAATGTCTTGTACTTCCCTATTAAGGAGAGGAGAGAGAATGATGAAGCAAGTGGGGTAGACTAGTAAATGCAAAGTATTAAACTTATATTAAAAGGAAACGTGTTAACTACAAATAAACTTTCTAAAAAGGAATACATGTCAACTAAAAACACGGAGGTAGTATATACAAATTACCTCCAAACATAGACCACTATATATAATTCATGTGTAAGCATATATTGGGCATTTGACAACAATATTATGGGGGTGGTGTGGGACTTAGTCTGATACAAGTGTGCATTGATCAATAATGGCTAGAGATTAGTGTATTGATAAGGGTGTGAGGGAGTAGCACATTGGTGGGTCAGATTGGATCAAACTGTGTTTTCTTGTTGGATCTGGTCATTTTAAAGTAACAGTATTGTGTAAATACTTAAATTCCATCAGATGGGTTTTAGGGTTGACTAAAATTTTCATCTCCAACCTCTGGTATCAACACCTTGATGTGTATTAAAAAGGCATGGACTTGGATCTCAAAGAAAATCCCCTTTGATGAAATCGTCTTAGCATTTTATATCATTATTGTAAATAAGTTCAACAAATTGCCAATATGAACCAGCTTTATGCTAAACAAAGCAAGAATAAGAAATTGTTTATGATAGCTGGAACTATGCTGAAAGTTGACCCCTTGTCATTGAAGTACTAGTAAACAATCAGCATGCAAGTAAAACCGCAGTTACCGCCCAGCCACTATCACATCTAATGACTAAAATGCAACCAAAACCCATACATGAGCTAAATCTACGCACCACAACTGAAAGCTGTTAATGGATTAAATTTTCGAGTGAAAATCAGGAATAGAGAAGCAGAAGCCAACTAAAAGCCATTGGTGGAAAGATATGCAACCAAAACCTCATTTTGCTCACTTTCATAGTTTCCAACCCCATCAATTTCTTTTGATTTTGTCAGTATTCCAGGATTTTATAAATGTGAAAACAGCTTTAGGGTTTAAATTATGCTTCTTTATTATGTGCCTCAACAATCGTAATCTCATATGTATCTCTTAGGGGCAATGGTAATAGGGTCATTGATCTCTATGTTACTATCAGGTATCCCACGGTCGCACCCTCTGTCCATTGATTATAAATCTCAGCCTTGCAGTATTTCAGACCTTTATGTCATCTGCTCTTCTCATCCAACTTTGATTTTGCAATACTGTTGTGGAGCAGTTTCTACCCGTAAGCTATTTCTAGTTGTATCTGATTTTCATCTTCCTCGTCAACTATAGCTGCCAAAGTCCTTCACTAACTACTCTGTCACTATATTCATAATGATCAATGAAAAAACACCCTTCTGCTTCTGGGTATTGCTGGAAGTTCAACATCCAGATTTTTTTTTTTTTTTTTTTTTTTTTTTTTTTTTGAGAAAGTCAACATCCAGATATTGGTCACAATAGAAATGCTTGCATATTTTCAGTTCTTGTTCTGAATAGTTAGTAGGTTACAAACAGGCAATGTGTTTTGGTATGTGCAGAACGGTAGAGCCTAGGTGCTACAAAGGATAAAGATATCATAAAGTTAGTTTTTATTTTTTATTATTATTATTTTAAAAAAAAAATTTATTTCATTGCACACCTCATATGCTTATGGTCTTCTGGATGTTAGAAATTTAACTCCCAGCTATATGATACAGCATAAATGCATGTATGTTCCTTTTATCTTACACTTGCATACATATATCAAGGTTTTGTCATCACTGTTTAACAAAGAGGCTTATTGCTCCTTCTAGTTGTAAAGCTGTAATACTGGTCAATGTGCTGTAAAGCTATCTGATCATCCATTTTCTCCATGCAGGTTTACTATAATTTCAACCCTGCCTTCATGCTTGTTGAGCCGCTGATCTTGGTATCCATCTTGACATTATTTTTCTTGGCTTGCATAGCCTATCTTCATGGTGATATCTCCATCCACAAGCAGAAAACATCTTAAAACTTTAGTGGCTAAGTAAGGGTAATATATTGCTAGTTTTTTTTTTTTTGTCTGATATGTGCAAACTTGATAACACATCTCAGTGTTTGATGAGCTGATAGTTTGAAACAACTTTTGTGTTTTGCATAGATACTAGATTGGGAGATTTAGGAAGCCTCGAAAAAGATTAGTAAAATATCAGAACAATGACATCATCTGTTCTTGTATGTTGTGTTTTTTGCTGCAAGCAAGGTGATGTCTTGCATCCGAGAGTAGCATCAGAATACATAATCATTACAAAAATATTGAAATTTCATTGTATTTTAGCTGAATCAGTAGGTGCAAGTCATTTGCAACTTTTTTTCCATGATAATATAGTATACAATTTTTTTATTTTTTTATTTTTTTTTTATTTTTTTTTTTTGGAAAAAAAAAATAAAAATATTATACTGTATTTTTAGTTATGAGAAAAATGCCAATATCCCAACATTCTATGTTAGGATATAATACAACATGCTGAATTTAGAATTACAAATTTATTAGAACTCTTCTTTCTGATCCTGAACTGATTCAAACTTGCCCTTCAGAAGGCCTTTTGTGAAAATATCAGTAAGCTGGTTGTCCTCCTTACACTAGTTTAACTTAAATTCACTATCAGTTTCAGCTTCTCTTATGAAAAATGATAATTCAACTTGATATGTTTATTACACTAACCAAATTAATTTTTTTTATTTAGTTTAAAGGGTAATGCTATATGTAGCCCTAAGGAAGTAAGGGCTATGTATAAGCATTATATACTCTTGAAAATTATATAAAGTTAGAAATTTATGTCAAAAACACGTGTAAATCAATCAAAGTTGTTAGATAAAGCAGTTGCTTTAGAAAGAGTAGCTTATGAGTTATACAAAGATCATTTAGAATTGGATTTGAAACATGTCTTTGAAAAGAGAAGAAACAAAGGTTTTAAACATGAGAAGGGTAAATTGTTGACAAATTATACACAAAGACGGGCTAAAGAATTGGATACAAAGCAATGATGTATGAAATGAACCAAAATAATTGATTGATGGTTGTAAGAAATGAAATGGAACATAACCATGAGTAGCTCTGCCCCATGGTTTAGTGCACCATATTCAATCCCATTAAAGTATTACCCCAGCTGAAGTATAATACTTATTTGAATTGAAGAAGAATGGTGATGGTACAATGTTGCAAATGGTTCCGCTATTTGAGATCGGAAGGAAAAAGTTCTACTAGTACAACACTATTTTAATATGGGAGATGCATAATCAAGATATTGAAAAGGAACTAAATGACAAGATAAGAATCGATCTCAGGATTTCCTAGAAAAAAAAAAAAGCTCTCCCCATTTGAGCTATACCTCACTCTCTATGATGCCAAAACATTGATTTATTAGACACGAAAAGGACTAGATACGTGACTTTTGGCGATCTTATATTTTATATCACATATTCTACCAATAGATACGAATCCATCTGTGCCTCACGCCCTCATTTGTGGGTATGATTGAACAATCATACACACAATTGCATGTATGAATGTGGATTCGTCTTAAATGAGAAAATTGCTTCCTTCAAACGGCTCTTTAACAACCATGACAAATCAGGCTTTTACAATGGACTCGACAATTAAAACAGTATTTTTGCATTCATACCATAAATTTTGCATATGGCACACAAAGGAGAACTCAAAGGCACATATTAGAGATTTGACAGCAAATGGATGATTTTTTGAAGTTTTTTTTTTGTTTTTTTTGTTTTTTTGTTTTTTTTTTTTGTTTTTGTTTTTGTTTTTTTTTTTTTTTTTTTAATTTTATGAAATGTAATACTATAGAAAAGCTAAATTATTTTCGGAACTGGTAAGTTTTTATTGCTATTCTCTTTATATTATTTTAATTTTGCTCATGTCAACAAATGAGCAAATTTTAATTTAAAATGAGTACATTTTACAAGTCATTTTTTTTTTGAAATATACAAAAGTCATTTCTATATTAACACTTTTTAAAAAAAAATTAATTTTATGATTTTACAGCGGTCGTTTGAATAAAGACTATCATATTATTTTAATGATATATAAAACGATTGATTTATTTTTTTCACGTTATAAAATGGCCACAATTACTCTTATAAAATCTACCATGTAATTATAAATTTTGAAAATTTTAATTCAACATAAAATAAATATTTTTTGAGAAACTATTAAATAAGAATAAAAATTACATAAATTAAACTAAAAATTTGATAAATAATTTTTTTTTTGATAATACTATTTAATACCATTAATAAAGTTATGTAATCATTACTTGGAAAAAATATGTCAATTATGAACTATAATTATTAAAACATTATGGTTATCATATTTCAAAAGACTAAAGTAAAATTCTCATATTGAGTTTAAATAGTTTTATGAAAAGAACTCATGCATTAACAAGGGCACAAGCTAGTAATCAGTACAAATCCTTTAGTATACACATTTGCCATTCCTAAAATCATCAAAAATGTAAATACAAATTAAAATACAGAAAAGAAAAGGAAAAAAAAAAAAAACCGCATACTTCAGATATATGCATATACTTTACTTATCTGAAATGTAAAACTACACCTTATGATATATCTGCAAAACAGTAAGTTCTGTCTTTTACCTGCAGCAATAAATTGGTTGCTAAAGTCCTAAACTTCAGTATAAACGTTACAATTAGGAATTCTGCCAAAAAGAAGGGTATTTTGATTGAGAAAATCAAAACTATTTTCATCTTCATTTATAGAAAAAATAAGTGTAGGGATATGCAGAACATTTCAGAACACCGCCATTATAGTATTAGAATGATATTCACAGTTTATCAGATGAATTAGCATTTCTTCAATTCAAATCATGCAATGCAGAGTACGATGACCTTTTCTTGCTCTTGTAATGCTTACCCTTTGATTTCCGCTTTTTACCACGCACATATACTTTCAACAGCAATGACACAAAACCCAGAAAACAAGCTCCCCATAAAACCATTAGCCAAATCCTGATGGAACTAAATTGGTTTGATGCAGGAGGTGTCAGTAATTCCGGAGAATCATTACTTTCGTTAGAGCTATTTCTTGTGGCATCACTTTCAATAATATTTCGAAACTTCCTATATATCTTTTCCTTGTTCATGACCACCTCATCTAATGTGGCAAGTTTACTGGGATCAGGGCAATTTCTGTTCTTATGATGGAGATACAGAGCATCATTCAGTGTTCTTCCACATTCTATGCTAAGCAAATCTCGATAATACGCATCTTCATTGGTTCTATCAAGATTTGATGGATCAGGAGGATCAGGAAACTTAGCCCAACATTTGTTTACTAAGTCGACATCTCTCCATTTAGCCTTGTCAAAGGTCCAATCTCCAACCTTGAAAACCAATCCATAGTGGAAAACCCTGTAATTGACACCAAGTTGGGGAGCATATCCTGGATACATCATTATAGTGCCATCTATTCGATGCCGCAAATTTAACTGTAGAAATGTATAAATAAAAATAAGCGAATAAACAAAAAAGACAGGTCAATCCTACAAGGGTTCACCGAAGGTTGGGAGCTTGGGACTTAAGTACTCCCCACACTACTTACTTCACATCATATGTAGGTTTATCATTTTAGCAATCATCGAGTTGGGATTGCGAGAAAAATAAAATATAAATAGAATGTTGGGATGGAGAGACAAAAAGGTTGATACTATGGAGGCGTAATGAATAAAAGTAGATACACTTATCATAGCTATCTTTCATTTTAACAGTTCATAGTAGACTTAGTAGTGTGAAGAACATATTGGGCTACCCAAAAAAGGAAAGTGTACAAAATATTTAGAACAGAATATTTGCATGCAACAACTGACATATTTCAAGTTCGGAAACCCTAACACATAATAAAGCCATCTTACTGACGTTAATGATAATAAGAACTCCCAGTCTCAGAATCCAGACTAGAAAGAGAAGGTTGCCCGAAATAATGTTCATGCATAGAAAGTAGAAACTACCATGATTAGTGACTATCATTGGAATATAGAGAACCAATTTAGAGAGGAACGGAAACCACAGGAGGAAAAGTGAAGTTAAACTAAGATGTGCAAGGAATCAGCATAATCCCCTGGCCCCTAGCTGATGTATGCTAGATGAAGGCAGAAGAGTACTATTAATAATCCCTACGTCCACAAATAATCTTCATGTTATGTTTGGAGTGACGCGTATTAAGGATTCTAGTAACATCACATGGGTAGAATGTGAAATTTATCCATTTGAAGTACCAAGAAGATTTTTTGAGGGCATCCTAAAAAAGAATAGGAAGATTATTTGTGGTTGGAGAGACCGAGTACTGTTCAAAGATGTTGATTATATTTATAGATAAAGTTTGTAAGAGTATTTTTGGGAATTTGCATTTAATGGACTGAGAAAACGGAGAGGATGTTTGAGAGGCTTAGTTAAATATTGCAGGAGGCTTGTAGAGGAGAACACTCGGTGATTCCGGTGTCATTTGGCTGCTATGGGAATTTACTTTCCAAGTTCCCATAGGAATTTGTATTTCATGGGAATTAAATTCCTATATTAAATTTATGGGAATTGCATAAAGTTGTTTGGTTGGCATGAAGGAAGTTGCAAATCATGGGAATTTTGACTTACCGAGAGAGGGGTGAGGGGTTGGGTAATTAACTTCCCATGTTTTGTGGGAAGTCACAATTCCCATGATTTTGCAATTCCCCCATTTACACTTATTATTGTCAACCAAAAAACTCATCTTTCAAAATCCCATGATTTCCCACTTTCCCCATTTTCTTTGTGTAACCAAACAACCCCGGGGAAAACATCTAATGGTTAGACTCCACCCCTTGAAAGTGGCTAGACAGTACATGATAATTAGTGATAAAGTTAAATATAGTATCTGGTCTTCCCTAATTCTATGCTTAAATTTCCTTGCAATTCCTAGTGTTCTCATAAAACTTGTTTGCAAATACAATACAAAATTCAATGACATTTAGAGTCATTTCTGTGCAAAACATACCTCAGCTGCCCCAAAACTGTAACCATACATTTCACTGATCCATCCGGCTTCATAGATATCACCAGTGATATTCGTGGAGTAATGTTCTGTATCAGCTCGTACCTCCTGAGTTTTAAGCAGCCAATACATAGAAAATTTCCGGAGATCCTCTATGTGCATTATTATAACACCTCCAACCTTATCACAAGCTTCAGGATTGCGTGTATGGAGCTTTGCAAGTATATTGTCACAGCCAATCAGGTAACTGAAAATCAGATAGAAATAAGCAAGAATGAAATAACCACTTATGATTAATGCTAAATCAGGTGGAAATCCTATAGCCTTACCCATATGGAGCTGAAACTGGACGCCCACGGGCTGCTTTGAATTCCCATGGTGTAATTTCACCTCTCATAATCATATCAGCATCCAGAATTACAATATATTCTGCATCAATCTGTGCATGATTAATCCAATGAACAACTGCAGCTGGTTTATTGATTGCTGGGTACCTATAAAGGCAGACATGATTCTGTATCAAGCTTCTATTTACAAAAAATTGAAATAATTTCAGTCTGAATAATGGTTCACTGGTCAGCTATCCAACTATATATAACACAGGAGGCACCAAGGCTGTATTATTTGGCCTATAATTTTGGAAAAGATTCAACCGTCTGTTGGCTGCTGTTTATGTAGAGGTTAGCGATAAAGATTTATTCAGTGCGGTATCCACATTAGAAAAGAAAAGAACTTCACAGATATTGTTTTGCTTTTTAATAAGCAGAACATAGTCCATATCCTATATTATTGATTGACATCAGTATTTTAACCATGTACACAATACTTGCAGAAACAATTCCTTAGATTATTTTATTATTAATATTTGATTATCAGTATATAATACCTACTTGTATATATAAAGCATTTCTTTTAAAAGTTATACTAAAGACAATATTCAAATAAAACATTTCTGAAATGGCTTAATGCCTTTTGGGCTTCCCACCCAAAAAAAAAAAAAAAAAAAAAAAAAAAAAAAAAAGCATTAAAACTAAATAAGCGGAGATTACAGGAATCTGGATATCCAATATTTCTGCTTAAAAGTCCGAATTCCTGCACACTTTTAAGTCCCTACTTTATATTTTTTTAAAGACAAATCTGCCAAAATGGAAGACACTGGATTAACGAAGTTACATCCCCCTTTTGGAAAAGCACTAGCATTATATTCACTAGCTTGTTTTGCTATTAGTAATTTGTTTGACGTACCTTGGATTAGGAATTTCATTTCCCATTTTGAAAGGAAAGGGTTGTATCATATGTGACACGTGACACCTAATTATATAGGTCCTGTTTGGCAATTAGCTTTTAGCTGTTGGCTAATTAGTTATTTGAGTAAAAGTGTTTGATAAGTAGATGTTAATTTAAAGGTGTTTTAGTGTATAAAATTAACAAAAAAGCTAAAAACTCGTCTTTAAAAAAAGCTCCAAACAAACACTCCAAAGAGCTTTTTGGAATGGTCAAACAATTATTTTTGCTCCAATAAGCTCCTAACCAAACACCTGCATAAAAGTTGTTCGGTTGACATAGCTTGGTTATGGAAATTAATCTCCCATGTTCTTAATCTTCACTCAACGTTACCTCCTTTTCATATTTTAGATGCTTTCCTATACTTTATAAGGTTTCAAAATCCATTTTTGGCAATCCAGTATTCAGTAGAAAAACAATGCAGATCCAAAATGAATGAAAATCCAAAAGATACCTAACAAGTTTCTTGCTTTTTTGCTTGTGTGTTGTTAGACTATAACAATTGGTGTACCGTGACTACCACCACATGTATTTCGCACCCTAACTCACTAGATTCTATAAGAAATGCATGATTCAGCCCTGCTTGTACCCACCTCAACTAGCTTTGTTAGCACAAGCTCTGACTACCCATGCTTCGTTGCTAAAAGATAGGACTGCCCCCTTGAGATCCATACGTCCAATTGTTTTACTTCGTGCTCACAAACCACGCTTACACACAAGGTTTGTGCCCTTACCATCAGAAGGCAAGAGCACGCTGCACAATCCTGAAAAAACCACTTGGACTATGACATATGGCAGTTGGACCTCACTCTCTTAAATCCTGCCCCCCCCCCCCCCCCCCCCCCCCGAAGCTTTTAAATCACATTCCTCCCTCTCATCCCTCCTTCAATTCAAAACTCAATTTAAAAGTAGACAATATATCCTCCATAAATAATTTCAAAACAAGATAACTTTCAAAAATAACCAAATCTCAATTACCTTTTATACTGTATACTTCAATTAATTACAACATTTCTTCCATAATAAAGTATATGGCTGCGAGTGGGTTACTGTGATAATAATTTTTTTAAACAGAGATTATTCTCCAATTATTCATGCATTATCTCCACTCTCCAAACAATATAGCAGCTGAATGATTGTTTTCCAGCCTTTGAAAGCATTAACAGATGAAATTTGTGTAATCTCCAAGCATCATTTGTGTTCTTTGTGAAAAGAAGATACATAACTCGGTTTGTATTCAATAGTGCTAGTGCGGTAACTTACATGGTTGGTTTGTATTCAATAGTGCTAGTGCTACTCAGATATCCCAGATGGCAGTGGTGACTTTGGGCCTAGGCTAATAGGCTTCTTAGTATTTGGAACAGATAATTAACCAATTTAACTCCACTGGATCAGTGAATCCTAATATCCTAACACAAAATCACTCAGCTAATATTCATTGTGCTGATTTGATTATTTCTAAGATGCTGGGATCTAGAGGTTAGAAAGTTCACTCTCAGCCACTAGACCAAAAGGAAAACAGGTGTTTTCTCTAATCCATAAGTGCAAAATAAACTAAGGTCCCTTTTTCATTCAATATAAGACACGAGTCATTGGTTTGAGTATCAAATCACGATTTTCTGCTAGTCATTATAAAACTACAAACAATGACCCTAACCTACTACTTAATTTATCTCTGCACCTCTCTTCCTCTTTTCTATGCTTCCAAGTCCTCCCTCAACCCCATCCCCCTCCTCACCTCCACTGTGGCCAAATTCACCACTCTTTTATTCCCTTCCTATTCTACACCACTAGATTTTTCCATGAGTTTTTCTACCCTCCCTACTGTCACTACCATAGACCACTATTCAAAAAGAAACAGCCACATGATAATCTCACATCAAGCATAGAACAGAATTAATCAACTAGACGTAAGGTTATTTTTAACTTCCAAAAGAAATGAGAAAGTAAGAGCAAAAAAAAACAATAATTACCGATCACCCGTGAAAGGATGTACACTCATGGAAGGAACATAATGAGTTGGAGCCAAATCATGACCACTGTAATGCTTAAGATCTTCATCTGTACAGCTGAGAAGCCGAGTGACATTGCCTGGCTGACCACTCAGACGAAAACTATGCATAAAGCCTACAGTCTGCCAATCAAAATAAGGGGTGCATTCAGTAGAAAAGATAGTATGGATTTTCGGATATGGTTTCCCAGCTTCACCAATCAACTCCTCTTCGTGATCCTTTTCATTTAGCCATCTAATGCCACCAGGATATTTAGGCTTTGTTAGCTCTGCATGTGTTCTGCTCTTCAGGAAACTTAAATATCTGGTCCATTTTGGCTTAGGGCACCCTCTTGCTATGTGGTGATGCAAAAGGGCTTCATTTAGTGTATTCATACACTCTATGCTCAGCATCAGGCCTCGTCTTTTTCCTGGATCAGCTTCAATAACTTTCACCTGCAGAGAACAATATATGCAGATGACACAAAAGAATAATATGTCACTTTTTTAGTGGTGTAATAGGAATAGCCATCAAGTTAAGGGTTGCTAATTATTACATGGTATGTTTATCTAATTTTGCAATTCACGTCAACGTGTCATAATTATATATACTTTCTAAATTTATTTTTGTATTTAATTTTATTTTTAGCCCACCAATGTTTATAAACTGCATTGTTTTCCTTGCCTAAAGTTTTATCAAACCTTTATGTTTTTTACTTTAACGTGCGGAGATTTGGTCAAGAACTACCAATTAAAGGGCGTGTTTTGAAAACAACTACGTATTTTATTTTTTTATTTTTTTTAAAGAAGTACCACAAAGTTGTAAAAAATTTAAGTAGCACTACCACTCTAATAATTCTAACTAGAATATTCGGCATGTAGGTTTCATTTTTTACCTTTAACTCATAAAATAACCATCTAAATTACCCTTCATCAAGGTAAAAAGTGAGACCCAAATATCGGAGAGATTCTAGCTAAAATTGTTAGAGTGGTAGTGTTATTTAAACTTTTTGTAACTTTGTGGCAGTTTTTTTTACAAAAAATTATTAGGTATTTGTTTTTAAAACACGTGCTTTAATTGGTACAAAATTTCCTTAACGTTTTAACCACTCTTTTAAAACTTTCTTATATTTTATTCTTGGTTCTTTTAAAACTCCCTTAATATTTCTTAAATGCTTTTTCGTTTACTTACTTTACTCACCTTTTTTCAAACTCTTTTAAATTATTATTTTGTTATGTCTTTTTCTTTATATCATATGATTTCTTATGAAAATTCATGTTAGCCGGCCCCAAATCATTTTGGGACTAAGGGCCTGTTCTCATTGACTGAACTCAGTTGAACTGCGTGGCTTGAAACTGAAATGAAATCAATATTTTATAAGAGAAGGAATTTAGGAGCTGAGCTGAACTGAATTGAATTTCAACGTATGAGAACAGGCCCTAAGACATTGTTGTTTTTAATGTTTGTTCTCTCCCTTATCTTCTCACTCCATAAATTAAAACTTCACATACACCTTGAAATGAGTAATTTAATTATAAATAAATAAAAAAAAGAGTGATTATAGAAAATAAAAGTGGGTAGTTCTTCCACAATAAAACATCTATGTGAAGAAAAATTCCTAAAAATGCAACTTAAACCAAAAACAAACAAACAAACTCAACTTTGTTCTTTAGTAGATGTGTACCAAGGAACTAGGGAAGCACTATACTCATGAGACTTGGCTAAAATAAATTACAATGAAAAGGGCCCTTCTTTTGCAAGTTTAAATGTACTCTTGAGATGTAATACCCTAAAATTTTTCTACTTTAAGTTTCGGGACTAAACTTGTTTTAAGGAGGGTAGATTGTAATACCCTAAAATTTTCTAATTTAAGTTTCGGGGACGAAACTAGTTTTAAGGAGGGTACATTGTAAAACCTGTAAATTTTGTATCTTATAAAGTGTAAATATCAGATATTATTTCGTATCTTTTATTTTATATCCTATTATTTGATAGAGGTTTAAAACCCTATTTTTAATTGAAATAGGATTCTATATTTTTAAGGGTATATAAACTATTATAACCCTATTAAATTGTTGATGCAAAAATATTTGTGCAGCCGTGTGTTTGGTTTTTATTGTTATTCATATTGATTTGTTCTTTGCGGTTGTGGGTGAAAGTCTATCCATTCATACTTAGCTTCCACCAATTTATGCACATAACATCATCATTATCTATGATGATCAAATATTGTTTTTAATCATTGCCAAGAAATAATATTTGGCATGAGTCGGATACTTTGACACCACAAGATCAGCAATCCTTTAATACTTTTGTAGCCGAAGGTAATCACACTACGGTAATTAATTTTTTTTATTTGTTTGATTATAAATTGTTAGTATTAATTGTACTCCGTATTGTTATGTGTAAATTTTATAATGTGTGAATTATATATGATCATGATTTATATATATACATGATTAGTGTGTGGTATAATATGATTCTAATTGCCGTATTATTTTGTGATATTGATTGATTGTGTTATTTTTCTAGGGTTTTTAATATTGTTTCTATAGGGAGTATTTGTTTGGTTTAGGGTTACTAGTGCAGAGTATTTTTTTTGGTTGTGAATTAACTATTTTTGGGTGCTAGTATTATTTCCTTAAGAGTTGAGATGTTTTTGAATTGAATTGTTGTATTATTTGGGAACTTGTGCCATTGTTGAGTTATTATTATTAGATTGTGAATTATTATTTGATTGAGATCAAAAGGTTGAGAATGATTATTTTGTTCTTGGTTTGAGGCTCGGCGTTATATAACTTAGTCCTTGGCATGTTGGTAAGAGGGTAATAATCATGAGTTAAGAATGAGGTACAATCTTTATTTATATTTTTTTCTATGGTCCCCTACAGTGGGAATTGGCCCGTATGTGGTCTGGTTCAAGGTGTTTTTCTAGTTATTGAAAGTATTCAAATTTATATACTTGTTGGTTTGTTATTCGAATTACCCATGTCCAAGGCTAGGTATAAAACAAAGAACATGGCACATTTATGGGACAAATGAGTTGAGTAAAGGTTTGTATTATTATTCGAGGTTGAGTTGATAAAGGTTATTTTCAGAGTACAATGTGTAATGTAGTTTCGAACTACATTGTTTAATTGATCTAGTAATGTTAATTATTATATTATTCTTTGTATTCTGATATGTGGTGATTACTCGACGTGTGTGTTATTTTGTTTTGCTACTTGTGTTTGCGGCCACGTCTTTTTCTTATGGTGGCCCTGCGACGATCTATTTTGGAATTTGTTCTTAATGGTGAGCAGTCAAGTTTGTCTAAACAGGTTGATCAAGTGGTCATAGCTAAAGGAGCTCAAGTGTTTCGAATAGTATGCTGTCATGAGTTTGTAAATTTGTATAAATAGCTCACCTAGATTTATTGGGTTGTAATTATTGGGATTTTTGTAAGTCTTAATGCTCGACAGGTTGTTGAGTGTGGCGGTAATACCTCCGATTTAGGAGTATGCTTCCGCAATTTTATTTAAAGGTTGTTTATTTTTCCTTTAATTCTTATTTATTTTCGGTTAGTAATCGGGGGTGTTACATGAGATCTTACAATTCTTTCGAGATCCACCCCACATCATGGGGTTGGCCAATGTAAGTGATACTAACTCTTCCGCTAAAAACAATTATGGTGTTCAACTTAACTTTTTTTGTACAAAGGCATTTTAAATCCAATCATTAAAAGTCTTGGACTTATGTTTTCAATCAATAAATCATTAATCCTATAAGCGGAGTCGGGTAAATAAACTAAAAGTGATTATTCCGTATAGTCATTAACAAAAATCTTCCTCCTCCGCCCCTTACGATGAAATAACTCATTCTCATGCAAATCTATATGCTTCATATTCTTCCTAACTTCTTCTATTGATTTTCAATCTCCCACTTTATTGTCTAACCTCTCCATGGTCTAACTCTTCCACTCTTCATACCAGTGCATCGTCAGGTTTCCGTTTTACATGCCCGAACCAACGCAGAAGATTCACTTAGATGGTTTGCAATGACTGCGACACCCACTTTCTTGTGAATAACCTCATTTTTTATTCTATCTCTTAGAGTGTTCCCACACATCCATAATAACATGTGAATTACCGTAAGGTCCGTAACCTCCATCTGCAATGCCTCCTCCCTTGTCTGACCTCTTGGATTTATGTTTTCAGATTGATAGAAATAATTACAAAGAAAGTTTTAACAATCATTTTATTTAATTGAGTAAAAAAAAGAGTTTAATCATATTATAATGTTTAATCAATTCGGATACTTTGCAAAGGGAAGCAGTAAAGACAAGGCTTAGAATTTTTGGTATGAATTATAAAAAAAATAAGGAAAAATTGAAACCAATAATCCCACATTTGGGTCATCTTCTCAAAACAATCTCACCTTAGCGTTTTTTGGAAATAATCTCACCTTTATACCCCATATTTTTAAAACAAACCATTTACTTGTTAGTGAAATTGGTAACCTGTTTAGAAGGTATTTTGCCAGGTGTTGTTTTCTAATTGGTTATTTTTATTTTTTTTATTTAATTAAATAAAGGAATAAAAAATAAAACAAAAGTAATAACCCTTCTTCCTTCCCCCGCCGAGCTCCTCCCTTGCACCGTCGGATTCACCACCACCACATCCAGCAAAACAAAAACAAAAATCCCCCTTCTCGAACCCCCACCACAACACTCCCCAGCCGGAATGTGGCCCTTCCCCTTTCTTCTTCCTCGATTCAGGGTCAGTTGCTGAGATTTCTCCATCTAGAACCTCTTCCAAGATTCTTCAGTTGTTTTATCTAATTTTAATTAGTGGTATGTAATTTGATCTGTAAAATGATTTTGGATTGTTTTCGGTTGAATTATGAATGGATGAGATTTTTTATATGAAATTATGAGTGGTTTAATAATTTTGAATTCTATGTATTGTTGGGGTACTCTACTATGAATAGAGTGAATGGGGGTTGAATTTTGATTTTTATGGTGTTTTGAAGGGGTTTTTTTTTCCCCCCTTCTTCCTGGGTTTTAATCAAGGAGTTAGCTTGCTGATTGGATTGAATGGGTTTGATTGTTGAATTATTGAGATGATGCATTGTTGAATTGACATGAATTAATTTAATCGGTAATGACTAGGAAAAAATCGATTCCCCTTCCCTGTCAAACGACAACCAGTGCGTAACTGGTGGGCTCAAGTGGAAATTTGGGGTGGTGATGAGGATGGGGTTAAGGTTCGGTTCAGGTGATTGTGGGTGGTTGGGTTAGGGACAGTTTAGTTCAGATGTGGGGGTGAGCGGTGGTACCCATGGTGGTGATGGAGGGGTTGCCATGAAAGAAGGTGAAAAGAAATAGATTAAAGAAAAAAAAAATTACCTGTTGAACCGGTTGTAAGTAGAAAGGCTCATTTTGATAATATGGGAAATAAAGGTGGGATTATTTCTAGAATACGCAAAGGTGGTATTGTTTTGAGAAGATGAGGCAAAGGTGAGATTATTAGTTTCATTTTTTTCCAAAAAATAAAATAAATAAAAAAATATTCCCTCCACATTCACCATATTATAATGTTTTGAATTTCAAAATGTCCAGAAACAGGTAAAAACGCTCCAGAAATGACATGCTAGAAATTGCAAAATTCTGATACACAGAAAGTGCCACTGGAATGACATTTTAAATCACGTAAAGAATAAGAATATGTTTCATTACCACAGACATCTATGAAAAGGAGGAAAACTAGAAACCCTGTCCATCAATTGGAATCCAACAGACTGTTCTGTATTCTAGATTCTCAGCCTACTTTAGAGTTTAGAATTACTTCTCCAATCCATATGCACTGAAATCAATATGGCAGGCCTAATGGTTTAGATTGTTCCTGAAGAAAAACAATGAGAGACAGGAAGTTGGCCTCTCAATAATTTTTTATCATCACTTCTTTCACCTCAACATATGACATATTAGACATGAATCACATGATTGCCTCCTAGACTGCCATATAGAGAGAGACAATCTCTCTCTCTCTCCTCTACCTATCTATCCATAAGACTCCTATTCATGGGAAGCTGATGATGCCATGTGAATGCTTAAACCAAGAATCAAATAAACGAAAAGGATCCAACTCGAGTAATGGTCTCTAGGCACTTCATGTTCCACAATCACCCATCATGACCCAAGAAACTTTCTCCAGTCCAATGTCTCAAGATATTTCTTATTGTTGCTTCCATTTCAATATAAAACTAGATATGACTTATTTAAATATGACTAATAAATAAGCCAAACTTAAATTTACAGAAGTTATGAAATGGTGATATTCAAGCATGGCAGACATAATGATGATGGAGCCATGGAGGAAAGTGAGAAAGACAATAAGCAGTGATGGGAGGGCAATGGTGAAGTTGTGGGGGAAAAAATGACAGTGGTTGAGGTTGATAGATTAAAAAACGGTCTTTGTAAAAATATACACTGTAGTTGATAGCCCAAATTCTTAAAAAGAGATAACTCTCAATTCTTAATGTAAAACAAACCAAAATTAATCAAATTCCTTTCTTAATCCCTTTCTTCCTGTTTCTCTTACTTGACCAAGTATAAAATTAAATTAACCATTGGACATAATAATCTTAATAAAAAATAATCAATAAAGGACCCTTACATAAAAATCATTTTTAGGCTACACAATTATAAAGCCACAAAAAACATAGAGCCACCAATGAGAATTCCAAAATTATGGAAAACCATGACAATATATTCCTTAGAGCAAAAAAATCTGTCAAAATCACCATCTCAATTATTCTTTCACTCTCTCTACTACATCATAGATTCATAATCTCTTTTTGGAACCTCCACTCTGGAGTCTAGACTAACTTTGTCTGAAGGGAGATTTTTCCCAACCACCCACCAGGTTCACCACTCTTAAGGATAGAAACAATTTTACTTACACCGCCATCCAAGTGATACAATTGTTTGAAGGCAACCATTCACGCCTCATTCATAGCCTCTAAGAGACTGGAGAGATATTAGTGGCATACTTTTCACTTCCCCGTACATATTGCATATCCCCCTCTATATCTAGATTTTATATAAAATCCCGATATGAGTTCATATGAAAAGTTTACTTTCTTGTAAGAAATTATTTCATTTTTTTAACGGTGAGATGAAACCAAAAAAATTCTAAATTTGACAATGGATCAATTTAAGAATTTCGTTAAGTGAAGTGAAGATTTGTACTCCTCTCTCTCTGCATAATCTCTTTTCTAGGAGAGGTGTGTGGGTGTGAGAAATACATGGGTAAAGTAAGAGACTCTCTCTCTTCCTTAACGTACCAAATTCTGCATAATCTCTTTTCTAGGAGAGGTGTGTGGGTGTAAGAAATACATGAGTAAAGTAAGAGACAAGGTATAAAAAGGTGGTTGGTTGTAAGAAGAGGTGGATAAATTGAGAGACTGACAGAAAGTATAGGGTAAAAGGGATAATATAATATAGTACGCTTGCCAAAAATAAAACAAAGTAGAAAAAGGCAAATTTAAAGAAAATAAATCAAATATTAAAAAGATTTTCTTAATAGAAGAGAGTTACGTAGGAAATGGGAGTATTTATCAGTTGCTAACAGGCGAGCAAAACCTGTTTAATCTAATCAAAACTAAACCATAAATTACAAAATGGTGATTTAAAATTTTCATTTCCACATTGAATTTCTTGCCACGACTTTAAAGTTCAAAGGGGATGGAGTAGTGCCTATCACCCAATTTATTAATGAAAGAAGAAGAAAAATAAATTATATCCAACCTATATGTTTTAACAGCCCACAACACATTCTCTTTCGATGAAAGATTTACAGATCACGCATTAAATGGTTTACATCTTTTAAATTCGTCAAGAAAATATATAATCAAGATTAATTATATGATAATGAAAGTGAAAATCAATTAATAAAAAAATTGGAAACCAGTCTGGAATGGTATTTAATCAAAGATTAAGATTTTTCAATTTACTACTTCTCTCTTCAAAATCAAGATCATCCATTGATTTACTTATAAGATTATTCATAGCATTACTATAACTCTTATTTTCTCCTATTCACGGTGAGTTGATATCTATAAGAAAAGTTTACCAACATAGTCAACATACTAATTATTCCCTCCCGATGGTGTTGAAATTTCCAATTATCTAAGGAAGTCCTCAGTACTACATCTACAATACGAGCAAGAACAAAATTCATAGTAATAATAGTATTATTTATGTCAATGATTATCATTACTGGTGAGTTGAAAAAAGCTCTATACTGCACTTTAAACAGAAAGATCAATACACCTATAAGTATACATAATCTCAGTAGTACCTCTCTTGGATAAGGCGGTTCAGGAAAGAGCCGTCCACAGTCATAAACAATTCCATCTTGGTGATGATCTAGCTTGGTAAAAGACCAGTTCCCAACTGCAAATGGCAAGCCATAATGCAAGAGAATTGGCTCAACACCATCTCTTGGAACATAACCAGGATAGATCATCAGGTCATTAGTAATTTTATGGCTGAGTCCAACCTGATAAGAAAATGAAAGTATTATAAGCACAAAAATAATAATTGCCCAAGTATCCAGAGAACAGAAAACAGAAAATTGGGTATGACTTACTTCTGCAGCACCAAATGAATACCCATACATTTCACTGATCCATCCCGTACCGTCTATATCACCAGTTATATTTGTTGCCCAATGAGCCCTATCTTCTCGCACTTCCTCAGATTTAGACAGCCAAAATGGAGCCACTGCTCTAAGGTCATCAATATGGAAAACCAGCAACCCCCCAACCTTGTCACATAGCTCTGGGTGTTTTGTATGTAACTTGGCCAAAATATTGTCACATCCAATTAAATACCTGATGGAATATATCAGATTATGGTCACATACATACCCAAAAGCCGAAAGTATGGGAGCTTAAATGAAGAAATTATCTGATATGTTTGGAACATACTGAGCCAACTATGAGCAAGAGCATCGAAGTCCTTGGTGCAAGGGTGAATAAATTTATTTAACATGTAACCTCGAAATTATCAAGAGCCGAAGGGCAGCAATACATCAGAAAACATTTTTACAAACATTTAGGTACACTCGATGTACATTAATTTTATCGGTCATCAAACATCACTGATATATAGGATAACATTTTAGCAGTTGTTAACTTCTTACTTTTTATAGGGAAACTTTTAACCTATTAAATATTTAGTGTATATCAAGAGGTACATTTTAAGAGAAAAGTTTTTGAAAGGATTATATAATTACCTTAATACATTAAAGTTAATATTTACATGGTAGATATATTTTAAAAAGAGCAATTAAAAACATAAGTAGTTTTTCTATATATCGAATTAACTTTTAATTATACTAGAACATCTTTAGACTTTATGTAAAAAATGAATTGCACATACCTTATTTAAAAGTATGTCAACATTAAGACTCTTGTTTATGATAGAAGTGCCAACAATAAACAGAATTCACTTCCAACCATTAAAAAAGCACCCTCTTCCCAATTTTATATGTTTGCAAAGCATCAATAAGGAGTGAAGAAGTGTCCATACATGTCCTCACTCCCCGTGTACTTTCACCACTATAAGGTGATAACTGAGCTGGCATCTGATCAAATTATTAGAAGCCAACCACCTAGGCAAGTAGGCAACTAGCATAATAAGTGCAAGAAGCCAAGGAAATCCAAACCCATTTGGTGTAATAACTACTAAGATTGTTTTATGTATTTGTTATCATAATTATAAAATCAGTAGGATTTTGCCATAATTCCACAAAGGCACAAAGGAACCCAATTTAGAAGATTGATTCCAAAAGCAAGACACAAAAGCTACAGGATGAAAACTTCAACAGCATAATTCTGAAGGGTTTTAGATCCAAGCTTGCTGTTATAGAAAGCCAAATCATTCTGAAGAGTTAATGGAAGCCATCAATGAAGAAAGAATCAAAGGGGACTACACTAACCCTTCCTAGAAAATGAACAGAAGAAAGGAATGGTAAAATCTGTATTACATCATAGCTGATGTGGGGGCCTTGGACTTGGTTGATTTGGAGACCTTAGAGGATGTCATGATAAATGGGCTTCATGGAGGCTTCTTAAGGTGTAGTATGGTTGAGTCCTAAGTAGTATGTGAAGAATTATTTCATCCTTCGTCTTCTCTATCGCAACTGAGGGGTCAGGTAAAGTTCTTCTACCAGAGTAGTATGTGAAAGAGTTTTTCTTCCCCCAATTACCAAATTAGGCACGATTCTTGGTGGTTGAGCGAAGCTATTTCCTGTGTGAATTTCTTAAATTTACTTACGAAGATTTATAATAGGAAAAACACATATAATAACAAATCCTAGATATTATCATTGAGCTAGAATTTCTCTCACATGTTGAATCTTTGTGAGCATTCTAATCTTGGCGACAATCTCAATCTTATCAAACTTTGTGTAACATCAATTGAAACCTTTGATTTCATTAAACCTTTTTGATTAATAAGTCATATATTAATCTATACTGCATTTGTTTGATTTATTACCCCCGCCCCCCTCCCAAAAAAAAAAAAAAAAAAAAAAACAAAGTCATTGAGTGAGCAACTTTATGATATATGGATTGGATTTTTAATGATTACACACACCAGAGGGTTATTTAAAATCTTCCACACTGGTGAAAAATGAAATATAAGCAATTACTTAAGTTGATTAGAAAATGATAAGATGGAAAATGGTTTGAGAAGCTCCACTTAGCTAGTTATTACTGCCTTAGAAAAAATGGATTATAATAATCAAACCATTGGGAAGTATGCTTAATATAGTCCCCTTTTTCGATTAACTAAGAAAAATCCTAGATTTTTCGAGTATCTTTTTCTAACAGTCCTAATGACCAGTGACCGGTTTCAAAGATTTATAATATTTAACTAGCCTAATTAGCTTCCAAACACATTTATTTAGGCACATGTCACTATGATATTGGCCATACTTTCTTTATTTACTAATATTATCTTCATCCTTTCTCTCTCCAATGGTATAAAATCTCGGCCGCATCACTGCATTGTAAAGGAATTTGAGCTTATCGTAGCCGATATATTAGGCCACAACAGTCGTACTCCATCCGCATTGCCCGCGAAATGACTATGTGACCATACCGCGATTGTGACCACATCCAAGATTTAAGACCACATTCTCTCCTCTCTTCCCTAATCTTCTACCTTTTGTCTCCCACCATGACGACACCACCAAGTCCTAGTTCATTCCTCATTATACATATCTTTCACTGTACTCCAGACTTAGGATATGTTTAGTTCACATGATCTATCCCTGTTTTTAGTTTTGACCAAACTTTGACCTTAGTTGTACACTAATCTGTAAATTAAAAACATCAAATGAGATGTCATTAGAATCATATTAATATTAAATATGAAAATTTCTTAACTTTTTTAACAATGGAATTAAAGATATTTAATGAAAATTAAACGCAACTAAAAAGACATACTGATTTGGTGTGATCTAATTATTTATGCAATAAGCTAATACTAATTTAAACTGAACATAGCCTTAATAACTAATTGAGTAATACATTGCTTGCCAACTGTCATACTTATATATATAATGCTGAGACAAATGAAAGAAAGAAGTATATAAAACAACCTATATCACATATATAACTAGTTTTTGGGTTCGTTCTACACACGGGCAATGCATGAGTTATTATTTATGCTGAAAACATAACAAATTTACATTACAAATGCATGATGGTTACATAATACTTCATACTGAAGACCAAAACCCTTGTTATAAATTTACATTTCTACATCAAATATAAAATCTCTCTTCACCAAATTTATTTCTCTTAGAGCACTCTAAATATCTTGAAAGTAATGGCCTTATGACATGCAAGCAACACCATATAATCGAATTTCACAAATACTCTTACACCTGTCCCTTTCCTTATTATTCAAGTTTTCCTTCTTTGTTACCTTTCCATTCCAATCATCATGATTGTTGCATTTTGCATAGGTCTTTAAAGATATTTCTATGTCTATATTTTGGGGGGCTTGTTATTAAGGTGAATGAAAAAGGTTTTCTTAGAAATTTATATTAGGAAAGGGATTAGAGGAAGATGATAAAGGGTTAATGAATTAAATAGTAAATTCAATTAAATTGATTTTGAAAGATGGAGGGAGATAAGGAGAAGATTAAGGGAATTCAATTTGTTGAATTAAAGGGTAGAGCTTACAAAAATTTAAAGGGTTATTGAAAAATAAAGGGGGCAGCTAAAGAATTTCCACCAAAACTAATGATGATTAAAAACATAAACAAGGCCAATTAAAGAAAAAGAATGTAAAGAAAGGTAAAAAGAGAGGAGACACGTGGCAGAATAAGTTTGTGTTTTTAAATTCTAAGCATAGAATAAGTATTTTCCAATTACTGCAAATCCTCAACAACATTTAACAACAAGGTGGGGGCGAGTGGATTAGAGGAAAGAGAATGATTCTAGACTTGGATCTGTGTCAAGGAGGGGAATAAAATGATTGAGACTGAGTTTGTAGCCAGGGAATATGGAGGATAATTCTCATGGAACTGGATAATTACGAGTTGATTTTGATGGAACAAAGAAGTGTGGATGTTTGTGTTAATGGGGATCAATCACAGCCATGACTTTGATGGAACAAAGAAGTGGTGGATGTTTGTGTTAATGGGGATCAATCATGGCCATGACTCCGCTTAGATAATTCGATTGCTTGTTCATCAATATCATGACTACATTATAATTTGAGAAAAATAGGTGGATGATGAGACAAGGGTGGTGTCATTAGCGGAGGTGTTATAAGCGGAGAGTAGTAGACAAAATACAACTTTTATTTTATTTTATTTTTGTGTAAAAAAGGTATATCTTAGCGGCTAAAGAGGTCTTTTCAGGTAAAGGGACATTTAAAGAAGATACCCAAGAAAAAGTGGGATTAGTCTTAGTCAATTGAAAGTGGGAGTATTTTAAGCAGACCGACCAAAGGTTGGAAAGTATAATTCAATATTTCCGTTGCTTTATTTTTGGATCTGCTAATTACATTTAACTAATTAACTGTTTGAACAGAAACTTGTTTAGAAAAGATGACAAGTTTAGATTTCCAGAATAAATTAAGAGTGAGACGTTGGGCGGTACACTGGTCTAACACTAATTCGACCAGTAAACCAGATCAGTCTTTTTGGTGGACTGGACAGCAATTCCAATTAGCTATAAAATTAAAATTTCTTAAGTAGACAAGTACTGTAGTAGACAATAGACATATATATATTGTCATTCAAAAAACAAATAAAAGAGCAACATCTTACTTCAACAGTCATAAATTCTTAATGGGGAAACAAAATTTGTTTCCAATAAGATTCCAAAAACAATAACTCACATGATTTCCATAGTAGGATTTTAAAAAAAAAATCCTCACTGCTCATCAATCACTTATCCCAATGGAAAATTAAACCTTGCACTATAGACTTATAATTGGTTGAGATGACTCAGCAATGTAAAAGATTTATAAAGAAGTCTTATAGACAACATACTCCCTCCGTCCCACTTATAAGTGCCTGTTTTCCTAATTAAGTGTCCCATATTAAGTGCCAATTTTCTTTTAATAGATTTTTTTTTGGACCTTTATACCCTTATTTTAAAATTTAATTCCCCAATAATTATTACATTGTACTTGGTTTCTTTTATTGGTTTGTACTTATGCATGTAAAACAAAATAAGTAAATGAGTTGGCAAACACTTATCATTGCTTTTAAGAAAAATTTACTTGCTTTATCCATTTTCATTAAAACATGCGAAATACAAGAAATGAGCATTTGATAAAGGGATGGAGGGAGTAGTAGTCAATGATAAAAAGACAGCACGAATAAAGGGGATTGAAAGAAAAATTGAAGAAGAAAGTATAAAAATGAGATAGCAAGAAAAGGAAAAAAAAATGGATAAAGAATAGAGGAAATGGGGGTTTCTGAATTTTGGGAAACAAAAAGAACAGCAACTGAGAAAAAATAAGTACCATTGCTCACTGACCATCATAGAGTTTTACAGAAATCTAGTCACTGATCTGGACTGGAATATTCAGTTTTTTTTCTGGACTGGACCAATTACCCCGAATCCAGGTATTTGAAGCACCTGAGACCAGTCTAGTATGGTTCATAATTCAGGTTCAATTACAGGTCTGGACTGGATTGTGCACAATCCAGGGCATCATTCCTAAAGTACTATAGGAGTCCTTTTATTCATCTAAATCCAAACCTGTTTGCTGAATTTTTTTGTTTTATGGTTCATATTCCAAATTACCCTCTAAATATAGTTTCAAATAATTGGTAGTTGACTTCATCTTTAGGCACTTCAGGTAAGCTAATTATAGTATCAAAATTATCTGCACCTTCTAGAAGTGAATGATCTGTTTAACATTATGCCAAATAGTACATTTATAATTTTGATGTTTCTTCTAATGATATACTTTACCACAACTTCTGTCAAGCACTCAAGCCTCAAACAGATGTCAAAAAGAATGCAAGAACAGTAAAGTAAAGCAGATCATAACCAAGAAGTGTGAGTTAATTATCCATACCCATAATATTGAGAAACAGGCCTGCCTTTCTCAGCACCTAATTCCCAAGGTACTATTGGCCCTCGGATGATCATGTCAGCATCTAAAATTACAACCCAATCAACATTCCTAGCATCCTCACTATGCTGGAGCCAATACAAAACCCCAGCGGGCTTGTTAATAGCAGGGTACCTAGGCAATAACAACATTCACCCTTAGTTTCAGTATATCATGATTCCAGGAGAGTTAGAAGAAACCAAAAAGAAAATTGATAAAATGCAGCAAAACTGGAAAGCAACAAAAGCAAATTAAGCACATTTATAGACAATATATGTGTGCACGCCATAAACCTATAAGTATACACAATGATGTGGAAGCCATCAGTTCGATTAATTCCAAACCCCAATCTTATTTACTCAACTTCTACTCATCACAATATCCTTATTAACACATTTTTGTTTAAGTAGATTCCAAACCCTCAGTAGGAATCTCAAATCTTTTGATTTACAATATGAATGAAATGGAATTGCACAGGGAAACAGGACACTCCATTAATTGATGTGCATCATAATATATGAAAATGCAATGCATTGATCTCTTGCTTTCTTAACAAGCATATCCAATAAGCAAATATAAGTACAACACAATCTCTCTATACAGAAATAACAGTCACATACTCACACACAGACTACTTTAGGATATTCACAAAAAAACTTTGTGACCTTTTGTAATATATTATTGTACTCTGATGAGATTTTCCAATGTGCCACTACCTAAGCTGATTGATTGGAACTTATCTTTTGGGACCGGAGAGGAGAAGATAGAAATTATCCGCCTATTTTGAAATATCATTTCCCATTTAGGGTTAGAATAAGGTGGCAACAAATTCCGTTAGGATTACAAAACAAGCTCAAGAACTCAACACCAACCAGATAGTTGCTTAATTAAAGCACAATCCAGTGCCTTGCCCTATCTGACCAAGGAAGTTGCTTTTTAATTAGACCCTTGAATTGAAAAGGATTACCCAAAGACTAATTACTTTATAACAAAAGAATAGCAAATAATATCCAATTTCTTATTAAAGATAAACAAATTTATGTTAATCATCCATATTTCAGCTGTTTATACGGTGGCTACCAATGAGCACTCAACCAATTAATTAAGATCAATCCAAGTACATTACTTATACTCATCATACAAACAATTGCAACTGAGGAGTAAATGGCAATTAACATAATCATTATTCAATAATAGCATTGTGGTGGTACCCAGATCAAATCATGTCTATGTCACTGTCTTTTGTAACGGCCCCTCAACCCGAAAAAAAAAAATAATAATAAGAATAGCAACTGACAAAAAACTTGCCAAAGACATTATAAAAGAAGGTAATATACCAGTCACCAGTTCTTGGATGTCTGCTCATAGAAGGGACCTCCATAGTCGGAGCTAAGTCGAAACCTCGATACCGTTTCTTCTCCTCCTCTGTGCAGCTCAGAAGCCGGGTAATCGGCCCCGGGTGACCCGATTTCCGGTAACTGTGCATAATTCCAACTGTTTGCCAATCGAAATAATCGTTGCATTCTGTTGAGAATAATGTGTGGATTCTCCAAGGAGCTTCCCCAACTCTGTACTCCTCTGAAAGCCCTATTGTACCTAAACTCAAAAAAGTTACCAAGAACACCAAAATCTCCATAAAAGACCTCATTGAAGTCAAGGAAATTGATTCAGAGATCTGTTTATCATGGTCTATTATTTGAAAAATGTCCAAAAATTGAATAAAAATTGTGAATGAAAACATGCAAGTAGTTGAATACAGAATTATACAATTTAGGATGATCGTGATTTATGAATATAAAATTTTCGTGGGTTTTGGGTAAGAAAATTGAATTTGTCAAAAAATCAAAAAAAAATTGAAATGTTGTTGGATTGGAACAAGGGGTTGTTGCCCTTATTGTCTTACTATGATTTCTGTGATCAAGTTTATATTTTGAGGTTTATTTAATTAATGGGTTGAAAATGATGGAATGATTGATTAATGAATGAATTGTCGTGTTCTTCAAAGGGTTGACATTTGAACAAGAAAAATCGAAAAGTGTGACTTTGTGAGCTTTCAACTTTTCTTTGAGTTTTCTGAAAACATGAGCATGATCCTTACTGTACTGTTTTGATTTACTAGTATGAAAAAGTTAAAGTGTAACATACTGAATCACCTGACATTTTCGTAAATAAATCAAAGAGCTTTCCCCGGTTAATATTATTTTGGGTGTTTTTTGGTCGCTCGGGAGAGTTACGTCACCAAGACTGATTCCACGCGGTCTGTACCTGTAAACACACAGGCTTCGGTTGGTAGGAGCTCCGCCTCCGACGTTCAATTTAATATTGGTCGTAGAAGATGAAAAGGTGCGGAAAAGGTAAAAGTGAGATCTTTTCGGATTCCGAAATCAGGTGTTTTCTTTGATGTAAGATAATGTAGGTATGTTGTAATAAATGAATGTGTTCCCAAAATGGGGAAATCTCCCTATTTATAGGATCATGGGAATACGCGCTCATTAGGTCATTCTAACCTAATGGATTGCGCTGCTTTTGCAGCTTTTATCGGGAATTGGGCCTTGAAGGCCGTCATTCCATTTGTTGGACCTTTTTCAAATAGGTAGGTCATGGTAACAAACAGTTCACCTTCGATTAAAGTGACGGGGATGCCCCCGTTTTAACCTACCCTTCTATAAATAAGGTTTTACCCACCCCCCCCCCCCATCTCCCATCTTTGACCATTTCATAAGTCTAGAGACAGAAAGATCGAGAGAGACAATTTTCTAGAGAGACACACACTATTACTGAATGTAGCTGCTTTCCAAAATAAATTTTGTCTGCAGCGTTCGTGGACACAACCGCTCACCGTTTGAGGCAATTTTTTCAGAATTTAATCAGAGGTAACTGTCTCTCCTCTTCTCAACACTTTCAATTTTTTTCCATTTGTATATACAATTTTTCAAATAAAATGGATTTATCATCGACACACACGACACATCCTAGGTCAATCAGTCGGTCTCCTGGTACGGTTGAGTCTAGAGCTGGAGGTGTCGTCTATGGACATTTGGACCTGCTTTGCTCATCTCCGAATCCCTCCATCTATGTGTCTATGAAGGACACGATAACCAGAGTAAAACATACAGCTACCAAGCCAAAAAGAAGGAGCGCTTTGGAACTGCCCGCGGATGAAATTACTCTAGATGAGGAGTATGAGGAATCTGAGGAGCAAGCAGGATCTTCGCCGGGTAGCACCCCATTTACCCCAAGTGACGGGATCCTAGAAGAGGCAGGCGGTGAAGGACCCGCCTCTACCTCTGATCGGAATGACTCGGATCCAGAGGATGGTCAGAAAGCCTCCAACAGGTCTGGATCCGAAGCTTCAAGCTCTGGTAAGGCGGAGGCTGGCTATGAGGTTCAACAGACGGCTAAAGGCCCGTCCATTTCCAAACCCATCGAGGCGCATATGTCCGCCTTAGACATAGACCTTGGAGTCTACCTTTAGGGCTTTTAAGGACAAATATCCCATTGGGCCTGATTAGGTGATTAAAGTCTCGCCTGCGGACGCGACTGTGGCAAGGGATGATGACATTGAGAACGCCGACAATTATTTCGGCTGCTATGATGCTGCGATCTAAGCCGGTCTTCGCTTCCCTCTTCATAGAGGGATTAAAAGGATTTTGATGGGGTATAAGCTAGGCATTTGGAAACCCACCCCCAACTCATGGATAAATATACTAAGTTATATTGTCGCCTGTGAGTTCCAAAACATAGAGCTAAGTTTTAAGGCTTTTGCTCATATGCACTACATGAGTCGGGCTCCAGGCGGATAGGGGGCGTGGTATACTTTGACCACGCACCTGCAATACATGATGACACTGGATAAGCCATCTAAGTGAACCGGCTGGAAGGAGAAGTTTTACTAGATCTCCTCGCCCTCTCTAGGCCACAACCGGTTCCTACGCCGGTACAATAAGGATCCGGCTTTACTCGAAAAGAAGTGTGCCCTCCCTCGCATTCCGCCCAGGGCTTGAGAACAAATAATTGAGCCGGGACTTTTTTAGACAACCACCATCCCTTTGGATGATGAGACTCAGATAAGCGTACCCAAGAATTGGGTACTTGTAATCCCCCGTATTTTTAAATAATTTATAAATGAAATTTTATTTCATTTATAATGTTTATTGGTATTTTTTCATAATTTAATTTTAAAAGTTTCAAATTATTAATTTGGGTCGGAAATTATTTTAGTACAAACTATTTTATGAACCTATATTCTACAATTTATGTCAATACAAATTAAGCCTACTCCATTTCATTCATTTGGCCCATTATTTTATAAGGCCCAATCTTCCAACCTAACCTACAACTCTCTCTCCTATAAATACCCATAAATCCCCAAAAATTTTCCCACACAAAAGGTAAGTCTTATTTTCTTTCTTCTTTATTTCTTTATTTTTATTTTCCTTTATTTTTTTTCTTTTTTCTTTTCCTTTTTTTTCCTTTCTTTTTCTTTCTTTCTTCTTCCTCCTTCACATGAAGAAGTCCTCACTGCCGCCCACCTTCTACTTGCTACCGCTACCGCCCAGCCACCTCCGGCGCACACCCGCCTCCCTAATGCCGCTCCTCTTATCGCCGACGGCCCACCTTGGCTGCCCCTTTCCTCTTCCTTTGTTTTCTTATATTTTGCTTCAAAATTATTTGTTTTGTTTTGGGTTTTAGTTTTAATTGTTTGAAATTAATTAAATTAGTACAAATCTATATTTTGATCGTAAGAGATTATAATTTCATATTATATACATGTTTTAATTTTCAGATTTAAATGAATTATAAATCTAGGGTTTTAATTTATTTATTGGGATTTTAGGGTTCTAATGATCAATTAATTTGGGGCCTTTGTTCTTATTGAATTTCTAATGATTAATTAATCATAAAGACATGTTTTAAAGGAAGTTTTAAGGAGTTTTAATCAAATTTATATTGCTGGAAATTTGTTTAAGTATTAATTTGTGATTATTGGTTGTTTTCTAGGAAGTGATTATTCCCCAAGAGACTTTTAAGTGATTAAAAGTGGCACAAAGGATTGTTTACACGAGGTACGTACATGTCTACTTCGTTATAAGTAGTATCATCTTTAGGTACCAAAAGGAATGAACTTAGTTTCATGTTTAGGGAACTCTTGGATGGAAATTGTTTGGTTATACATTTAATTAATTCATGTGCTTATGTTTATGAGGCATGTTTTGGTGAATTAATTATGTTTGTATGGAATTATGGATGCAAGCATGTTGAATAATATTGGATTAATTGTTTGTATGGAATGTTGATACAAGCATGTTGGATTGGTTTATTAACCATATTTGGAGTATTGAAGGATAGGTATTAAATGGTTTAAGTGGAATAATGAAATTTATTAATTATTCCACAAGTTATTATTATTTTATTTATTACTCAAGCATGACTTGTTAATATGTTGAGTAAAAGTGGATTAAGCCAAAATGGCTAAGTGGGTTGACTATGTTCAACAATTTTGGATAATGTGGAAGTTTATTAGAATTAAAGGTCAACTTGTGATGTGATCACCATTGTCCTAAATAAGATTAAAAGTGAATTGATGTATGATTGTTATGTATGGTCTTCTTGAATGAGTCATATATTAATTAAAATTGTAATCACGTAAAGTGAAACAAGGATGAGCAATAAAACTCTAGAAAGTATGCACTTCTAGAGTATTGACAATTATGGGTTGGGGTACACGGTGGTAGCCCGTGGCTTTGGGAGGCTTGTTTGATCAACCTGTCCTCTTCTCTTTTGGTATTTACATTTTATTTTATAATGAAAGTTAGATGGGATCCTAGACTAACTTTGTGAGGATGGAGTCGCGCCCATTCTTGCATTGCACTAAACTTTTATTTTAAATGGCCATTTGGGACCAAAATGATTTGGTGGTTTGGACAACCTCATCTATTGCTTAGTCCAAATTAAAGTAATCAAACTAAATATAAATAATTAAGTGTTTGGAATTGGTTAGTAAGTATGTTGAGTCAATTTAATTGTCTAAGTGTGGAGTCTTGATTAATGAATTCATGTTGTACGTTTATTTACTTTAATTAATTGAGCATTCTAGGTTTTGTACGTTGTAGCTTGTATGTACTCAGCTTTGCTAATTGCGTGCTTTTGTGTATGTTACTTTTGGTCATGGCCTTCGCCTTACAATGACCATATGATGATCCAATTATTACACTTGTATTATTGGGAAGCAGTATTGCACAGGTTAGCTTGATGATATGAAGTTCGAGGATTTGACATACGCATAGTCAAGAGATTGGTGTGATTAAGAGTATTCGATCTTTGTGTTAAACTTATTTATGTTTTTCTATTTCATTTATGTTTGGGATTTTGAATATTGGTTTGGTTTTAATAAGGGCCTTTATGGTTCCAATTTGTAAGCTTTGACTTATTGGTTTTCTAAATTATATTATTTTAAAATTTAAGTTGGACTTCCGCTGCGATACTTTGATAAAGCCTTAACGTTTTAACACGTGGCGGTAACATGCCAATGATTCTCCTCTATTTTTATTTAATGTAAGTGGTTTGGAAAAGGGAGAATTATTGGGGTGTTACATTACCTCACCCGGATTTTCTGAAAGATGAGGCGTTTCTCTCCGCCCGTCACTACTACAAAAAAACCCTATCGAGTCGCCTGTAAATGACCTAACGAGTCGCTTTAAAGGCGACTCCACAGCCACCGACACAATAGCTTCCAACTTTAGGAGTCGCCTCTGAGGCGACTTGATAGCTTTTATATAAGTTGCCTATTAGTTGTTAGACAACTCTATTTGTTAAGCTATTGTGTCGCTTGTGTTGAAAGAGGCGACTCCATAGGTTAATCTATTGTGTCGCTTGTGTTGAAAGAGGCGACACGTAAAAAATCAACATTTTTTACAACTATTTTTATTAGCTCATATAGTGTCAGTGTTTATGACACTCAGCATGCTTGATCTCTGGTTCTTTGCATGGAAGGTTGAAGTTCTTGCCATTACGCCAA